CCGCAGCTACACTGAAGTACACAAATACACAAACTTTTTCTGCCATTTCTTAAATTTCTGCTGAGCTGTAGAGATCATTCCTACATGTTAATTCCACCGGCAGGTCAACATGTAGCTCACCAAACTAAAACATTGGTATCAGATTCATGACGGAAGCGAAGAGCGCACTAAAATTTGCCTTCCTCCCAAAATTGCTTTGTTTCCAAATGTTAATAGTGCCTAACTATTATTTGAGCCTTTGATCTGTTCCCACAAGTATTACTTTAGTTTTAGAGTAGTTAAGGAACAGGTAGTTACTATCTACCCAGCTTATGATGTTGCTTAGATCAGCAGACAGGTAAGACTCGACTTCTTCCTTGGAACTACTACTATAGAAAAGCAGAGTGCATCCACAAAAAGTTGAATTTGATAGCAATGGACAATGGATGGGAAGTCATTAATATAGATGATATAAAGTAATAAACCGAGTAATGAGCCCTGTGGGACACCAAACTGTATCGACTGGGGTTCAGAAAGAACACCATTAACACAAATGCTTTGAGTCCGGTTTGACAGATAAGACTTGAACCATACAACCGCAGAATCAGAAGAACCGAGGGAAAGCAACTTATGCAGCATAATGTCATGATTTATAGTGTCAAATGCTTTAGACAGATCTAAAAATACCATTCAATGATCCGGCCTTTGTCCATGGTATGGAGAGGCTTAATAGTGATATCAATGAGACATGTGCTGGTTGAGTGCATAGGCTCTAACAGAGAAAAGAATGTACAAACTACTTCAACTACTGCAACTGTTTAAAACTAGCCTACCTATGTCGTGCATGTTTTCAGGATCCCAACGAACCCAAGCTAAGATGTCCACAGAGGAAGAAGTGCTAGCACGACAGCCTAGTAGCATGCATGGCAGTAAACACAGCGTCGGCTGATAGCAGGGTCTTAATGGGGGAGTAGCTCTGACGGTTTATTCGTTATTATTTTGACGGTTAACGATCAGTCTTTGAGGACTTTGACGGTTGACGGTTGACAATATTTATTCTTTGACTGGTGATTAATGTTAAGATTTTATATCTTCTAGTGAGAAGGAAAAGTGATTTTGAGGTCTATTCAGTCTTTCTCTGACGAAATGAAGAGGAGCGTAATTTGGAGACCACTAACGATAATCTATTGTTGGTTTCCAATAACTCCTTATTTCTCAATGATATATTCAAGATTAGCAGAACTTTTCGGGCCTGATTCTTCTCGTCCTGCCCATAGCAAACTTAGAGCACGAAGGAGATTGCGGAAATGCTTCACATCTCAAACTAAGCACCCACATGTTTTCCTGTATCTATCTTACCGAGAGATAATAGATTGTCTTGATCTTATTCATTAGCGTGCATGTAAATTTATCGCTTGCGTTAAGATGATGTTCAGCAAATTTCAGAACTTTTAAAAAATATCGTTCGAGCGCGAATTCATAATCTCAGTATCTGCTTTATTCGTGACCATCAAGAATCACTAGAGAGGACGGATTTCAAGTTAAACTCGAACAAACGGTTTACCTCCGACCTTGTGAAGCCGTTATTGTTTCTTTGCTTTTTTTTTTTTAACAGACAGGTACTATAAGTCAAAAAGAAAGTAAATCTTACCCCAACACATATTTTTTTCCAATTTTTGGCAGACAAAACATTATTTTTAATAACTTAAAATTTTCACTTTTAACCCTTTCACCCCTAAATCTCAAAAGTAACATCTCCAACCGTGTAGTATCTGTCAAGTAAAAACAAGAACATCCATTTATTGCATCAAAGGCTCCCGTGAGGCCGCTCATGGAACGGAAATGGATAAGCGAAAGAAAAGGCAGTTGAATGAAAAAAAATGGGAATTGGTATATTCGGCGTATTGAAAATTATTTGGAATGTTAGAGGATTTTATGGAAAGGAAAAAAAGGCCATCTTCGTGCAGCTTCACTCCAGGTAATCGTGCAAAATCTATTGAACAAATAGTCCGCAGTCGATTGATATCGTCGGCTTAAAGGTCTTTAAACCATCGAAGCTTTTACGGTGTCACTTTGAGCATCGTCCCGTTTAGCAGCGTTTAGGATTTCGATGTCCATTTTCGCCGTCAGCGTTCCTGGCTTAACAACATTTCAGTGTTCTACTCCACAAAGGAGTTCAAACACAGACCATTTTCGTGCCGCTTATATACTTCATGGCTGAATGCCATTTATAGACGAAAAAATGGCGGAATGGTATATTATTATATAGGCAACTTTTTGGTTAGGCTTACTTGAGTTGCTAACTTACTTAAGGTTCTTCCTTCCTTAAGATACTTTACTTACTTAAGATACTTTACTTACTTGAGATGCTTCACTTACTTGAGATGCTTCACTTACTTGAGATGCTTCACTTACTTCAGGTGCTTTCCTTACTTGAGGTGCTTTCCTTACTTGAGGTGCTTTCCTTACTTCCCGTGCTTTACTTACTCGAGATGCCTTACTTACCTCAGGTGCTTATCTCACTAGAGAGTAAAGCACCGCGTGTAACTAAAGCGCTTTAAGTAAGGAAAGTGCCCTAAGTAAGGAAAGCGCGTCAAGTAAGCCGCACCCATAGGTCGTCTATAGATTTCATTCCGCTATTTTGTCGTTTATATGGCGTTCATCCATGAAGTTTATACCGTTATTGGGAAAAATCTACGCCTTTCTCGTCCCTTCTAAAGCTTGGCAGATATTTTGGAACAAAACCATTATTTAGCAGGGGGAGGTTGGATTTCAATGTTTAATCCAATTTTTAATGAATAAATTAATAAGAGTCGATTTTCCTACTGGTGAGTGTGTACCATAATGCCGCCCGACTTTCACCCTACATCTCATGGAATGACTACATCATCCATGAGCCGAACAGGATCCATGTATTGTTTTTCTTTTATGTATGTCACAAGAATTGAGAGCGTGCTCTTGATTAAGCGCCGCCCCTCCTTTTAGCCGAAATTTTAACTGAGCACTCAATCGCTTAACCGAGGAAATACAGTATATGTTACCAGAGGCGAGCAGAGTCGTAATACTTGATGGATTTTTAATACGAATGTTTATTTTTTTCCAAAAGGGTACACTAATCAACCTGATTGATTCTTAGCGCGGTCCGGACTTTCCTATCTCTGCACATGGGCACGGTAACGCTTTCGTGAGGTTTTGTGAGTTTTTGGTTTTCATAGATATACGTTGTTTTGCCCACTGGGCAGCCTTCTTGAAGGAAAGACTTAAGTTACAATGTTAAGGTGATGAATAACTTATCAATTCTTTCCTTGCTCACACAAATCACTCCGGCTACCTGCAAAATATTGGTTTCGAAATGAATTTTGAGAAGGCAAGAGCGTCAATGATTCTGTTGACATGCCGTCCAAAAGCCAAGTACACTCAAGAAGTAAAAACGTGAGGCTTTTTATTTTTTACAATTCAATCTATCGATGTGACTTTCATTCAAAGACTCTTTCAATTCCTCAAAACAATTCTAGGTCATGATAGTTGATGATAGTTAACCAAAGTGGAGGCCTTAAGAGGTATCCAAGACCTCGGGTTAAGTTTTTCCCAATACAAACCCCCCGGCTGATGAACAGCACACATTTCCTGTGCGTCTTTCAACTTATTAAAAGCCGCAGTGTTTATTAGATATTATTGAGCATTTTCGACGCAGTGTTTAGTCAACTGGCGCGTATATCGAGCTTGACAGCAGCACGTTGAGCCCGTTTTATGAGGATTAGGCTCGAAGCGGACATTGAGATCGTTTCACAAGCAACATGAATTTATCGGATGTGTCTGAAGTGAATTCGAGGTCAGCGTTATTTAAGTAGCACAATATACTGTAACTCATTTGAAAATTAGGTGACATACAAACTTTCTTTTGAAGATTTACTGTCTCGATATGAATGATATGAATGTCCAAGGACGGTGGGATCTGACAGTGTAGATTACCGAGTATTTCTGTACTTTATGTTCAATTTGCTCCTCGAGTAAACGTCGCATTCCTTTAATTTAGTGCGGTGTTTATCGGAAGATGGTGTTTAGTTGAGTGTTAGGTTTGTTACCAGTAGTTTATTGCGTTGCCTGCAGTCTGGAAGAAGTCATGAAGATCATGAACACTCATACCTTAACTTCTTTCCGTACTTTGTTTAGGAAACTGAGCTCAAAATTCATTTCGCTGCCATCAATATACCGGAGATAGATAAACATATTCTTCCTGACTGTAAAAAAAATAGATTCAATAAAAAATGACCGAAGAACAAAGAGCGTAAAGAAAGCGCCGAAAGTGCGGTACGGTAAAAAAATGCGAAGAACGCCCAACCCTCAGGAAATGTACTCTCAAAAACAGCAAAACTTTCCACTGGAATCGAACCGGTTATCTGATGTTAGGTTATCTCAGTATAAAGAATCTTGTATCGTGGTTAAAACCATATAAGAACTTTGTTTACTCTAGACAAGGGATTTGTCAAGTGTAAACTGAAATACTCTGCTGAAAGCAATTTACTCCCTGCAGAGTTTAATGTCGCCGGTTTCTAATTTCGTGACCGATAGGCGTCAGTAAGAAACGAATTCCAGATGCCTTATTGAAAAGTAAATAATAAGAAAACAGCAAGGGGTTTCTTGATGAATATTTGATTCAAAATACCTCGTTTCAGATAGAAATGAGAATTCTTTGTTTTTGTCGTATTGTTTTTTGCAAAGTACCTTTGATAAAATGTTTGATGATATCTAAGTAAAAAGTGAAATGCCTCTGCAAGTAAATTATATTTGTGAAAAGTACACCGTAAAGCTTTTAAAGATATTCATTGGGAGTGATTGAACATCCGGTGGCCTTTACGTAGAGACGTTTTGTTTGACTCGTAATTAGTTGGATCATATTATTTAAGCCAATCGGATCCTGTTTGGTATTTTGATTGTCTCCTTCTGTTACCGCCAGCCAATCACATTCTCGACATCCAAAGCATGCTAATTTCGTTGACAATTCTTTTCAGGAAAGCGTACTTGGTCATTAACTAAGAGCGTAGTCTTGGTCAGCTTTAAAGAGGAGATTGAATTGCGTTAGTACAACTGTTCTGTTCAACATGGTCGGAGACGCTTACGGTACGCGTTTTGAACGATTGCTGCTCCCCGTCGTGATCTTTGGGGTTTGTTTATTGCCTTGCTTGTGCCAAAAGAAGTGTGAGTCTGTTACGATACCTCTTTGCATTGGTTTACCGTACAACACTACAATATTTCCAAACATGTTAAAGCACAGAACACAAGAGGAAGCAGCTCTCGAAGTTCATCAGTTTTTCCCACTGGTGAAAGTCGGCTGTTCGGAGGATCTGGCCTTCTTCTTATGTTCGGTTTATGCCCCCATTTGCACTCTTCTCGGTATTCCAGTTCCACCATGCCGTTCACTTTGTGACAGTGCGCGAGATGGATGCGAAGATCTTATGAAGAAATTTGGTTTCACGTGGCCCGAGTCTTTGCGTTGCGAGAAGTTTCCAAAACTAGGCGAGGATCTCTGTGTTGGAAAGAACACAACTGGTAGAAACGGTCAAGTAGTGCCTTCTAAGGAACAACCACAAGGACACAACTCGACGGAGGCTCCGATCGACATTAGTTTGGTGTCATTCCGATGTCCGGAGGAGCAAAAAATTGATAACGATCACTACATGTTCTTTGGCAAGAAGAACTGTGCATCAAAGTGCGAAAACATCTATTTTGATGAGAAGGAGCGAAAAATTGCCCGTCTTTGGACTGGAATATGGGCGATTCTCTGTTGCATATCAACTCTCTTTACAATTTTAACGTTTATTATTGACATGAGAAGATTTCGGTACCCTGAAAGACCTATTATTTTTCTATCGGGTTGTTACTTCATGATTTCTGTTTCCTACATCATTGGATTCACTGCTGGGGACTCTTTATCTTGCACGGAATCTAAACATGGTCATTCCGTCCTTGTGCAAGGAACTAAACACGAAGGATGCACAGTAATTTTTATGCTATTATATTTCTTCAGCATGGCATCCTCAATCTGGTGGGTTATTCTAACACTCACTTGGTTTCTTGCGGCCGGACTAAAATGGGGTCAAGAAGCTATCGAGGCAAACGCACAATTTTTCCACCTTGCAGCCTGGGCGATTCCTGCCGTTAAAACAATTGCGATTTTATTGATGACCAAAGTTGATGGCGACGAGCTAAGCGGAGTTTGCTTTGTTGGACTCTCAGATTTAAATGCGCTGAGGGTATATGTGTTGGCTCCCCTGTTCATTTACTTTTTTGCTGGAGCTACATTCCTGTTAGCCGGATTTGTGTCGCTGTTTCGAGTGAGATCAGTTTTAAAAGACGATTACAGCAAGAGGGAGAAAATCGAAAAATTAATGATTCGTATCGGAGTATTTTCCATTCTGTACACTTTGCCCGCGATTTCAGTAATAGGTTGTTTGTTCTATGAGCAGGCAAATCGTGAAAAGTGGGAGCAATCATGGCTTGAAGGCTGGAAGCATCAACAAGCGTGCATTGATAACATGAAAGACATGGATTGTCCCAAATACCCGATTGTTAATGACAAACCGGATTTCACCGTATTTATGGTCAAGTACTTGATGTTCTTGATCGTTGGAATTACATCAGGATTTTGGATATGGTCGAGTAAGACCATTAACGCCTGGAGAAGGTTTTATCGTTCAGTAGCGCACAATCTGTTCGGGCGAGGAGCGAATACGCTCGTGTGATTGTAACTTGGAAAGTTTTTATTGTGAAAGTCTTATATCTGTAAGCAAGAAACGTGTAAAATCTATATACTTGCTCGTAAGGTCAATTTACGCCGCCGTGAGAAAGAACTCCTTTATGGAACTTGCCGAAAGCGCGTGGCTATACTGCATATCAGATCGCGTGATCGAAAAGTAAGCTTGCTAGTGTTTACTGCCTATGTGGTGCTCTATACCGGTTGTTGTTGAGCAACACCAATTGGCTCATGGAAATGGTTAACTTTTTACCGCGCCTGGCTGAGCTTCGTTTGAGCAAACGAGCATGGTTTGCGTTTTGTTGACTTGTGTCATTAGCGATTTAGAATTATACAAGTTGTAACGCACTTAAGCCCTTATATTGGAATTGTTCTTTAAATAGCCGACTTGCACCTCCTTCCTTTAAATTCGTGTTATAGATAAGAATGATCGTCCTAAATTTTGCGTTCTTCTGTGAAGTTGCTTCGAAACGATTGTGTCATTTTTTGTTTCCGTCGGAATTGAAAACTACTGCACATTCTTGAAGCTCACGTTTCATCGGCTTATCCTCTTCAGATCAGACACGAAGCTGTTTATGTGAACTGTAGTTGTCATAACTGGGATGAAGTTTCTAGAAAAGGAGTAAACAGATTTAATGCTATTCCAGATTACACAAAAGCAATTTACTATGGTTTTCACCCTTTTTGGATGCTTAAGTTTGTTTGATATGAATAAGAATGTGTTGGTTTGATTTATGTCAGCTGGGAACTGCTGGACACTGTCAACACATTTGATCGCATTATTAGGGTATAGCTGCATTTTAGAGTGTGGCTGATGTGTTTTCTATTTAAGGCCACTTACTTAACTCATTAAATCCAAGGACTTCTGTGGGTTAACTGATTTTGAAGTTTTATGTTCATTATTTTATTGATAAAGACAAAGGTATAGAGGACAATGTTTGCTCTATGTGTATTTGACAAGAAGTATGCCATTAAAGTTACCAAACAGTTATTGAAAGACATTTAAATTACTAGGTGTAACCAGAAATATGTGGACAAACTGGTATTTGAGGCTTAGCTCATATCAACCTCTTAATTGTATTAGTTCTTGTACAAACATTTCCAGGGATGACCAATTTTTTGTGTTATTTGTCTTAAATGAACCATTTTCTGTCAAGCATGAATTTTGAAAAGTAGTTTGTATTTGAATTAAATTGACTGAGTTTCCCAAGCATGGTCTGATTCTGTAATTCCACAACTGTCCTCTAAGGAACTCCTTTGTTAAATTATTTGGTATACTTTTCCCCAACATTTTTGAAAAAATGTCTTCCATTTTGAAGGCTACATACCAAAGGTTTAAGGATGAGAACATTTAAGATGTTACTATTAAATCTGTGGTAGTTGTTTTAAATCAGGTTCTCTTTAGATGCAAGGTGGTAGTTAACAGGATTTTAAGAGAAAGCTGTGAATTGTCTTAGGTTTTGGGATGTTTGGGAGGCATGTATAGGTATTCTTACCATGAGATGTGAGTTTTTGAGATTTTGATACAAATGTGGTTTTTTCTTATAGTCAGTTTGTACTGAAGGTGTTTTTTCTTGGTTCAGTGGGTCATGCTTTATCTCTTTCTCTCTTTTTTTTTATACAATTTTGCTTGAGTTAGATTTTGACCCTTTCACTCCAAAACATCTTGATGGTAATACCAATTTTGTTTTGTTATTTTTTATGATCGGTTGTCAAATCAAAGAATTTACCTTAGTTAAAATTTTTCTTTATTGTCATCTCCTTTGTGCTCAACATTTTATTGATTTTGTTAAGAGAATTTACCTCGTGAAACTTAGGGTAACAATATTGGATATTTGTGGAGAACTTGGTTAAAAACAATGTGAGAATGGCAGAGGCATTATTCAAGTGCCCCTGGAGATATTCTTCTGCTGACACATTCCCAGGAATCAATTTCAATGCTTGGTTCATTTTACCCAGTTGAAAGAAACCCTCGCAATGTATGGTGTAAGTATGCCACAAGCTGTTACAGCCTCGTGCTCTATTGTAATTTTCTGTGAATTTTTTTTTTAAAGTGAGTTGTCTTATTACACATGGGACAAGGACATAATGCTGAGTCCCCACAAGGAATCTAACTCAGAATTTTTTCTTTGTCCCACACTTGTGAAAAGACAAAATGCCATCTTAACTCTTGTGGAGATGTTCAGTGCTATCTGTTTTTGTGTGGACTGCGTAGCATTAAATTTTTTGTCTGATAAAATCTTGGCTTAGCCTGCAAAAGTATTGGGCTGATACTTAAGTTATCCCTTAATTCCTGGACTACAAGCATGTTTTGCATGCATTGTATAGTCTAGGGGTGTGCTCCCTTGAAATTATTATAAGTGACTTGAGGGTAATCTTGATGTTTCAGTTTGACTACTCCTATGATTTAATTATAAACAAAGATTGCAACATACATACATACATACATACATGCATAATTTATTTCAATAAAGTCATGATAAGGGCAGCTTTTGCTGATGTGGACCTAACTACATGCTAAAATATTTAAAAAAAGAGAACCTAATAGCATAATCTTAAAAGTTTTTATAAAGTATAAAATATAGATCATCTAATAAATAATTATTGATAAATAATCAAATATAAATATGAAACTAATAAGTAAGTAATTTAAAAAAGTAATCCCTTTCAATAGTATATCAAATCTTCAGTTCTCCTATTTAAGTTATTGCATTGTCTCTTTATGTAACTATTAGTTTCCATCAATCTTGATTTCTTTTTTAGAGCTAATTTAAAAGAATTCATATTTTCTGCATTTCTTATGTCTGTCCAGATTATCCCAGCAATTTTTATTTCTTTTGCTGACCAGCTGTCAGCACCATGTGCTTTCTTGGGGTTAACTGATTTTAACTTTCTTGAAAAGGCTTCTACTGGAAAATCAACATCTATTACAGGTGTCACTCTACAGATATAAGACAAAGGATTTACATTTTCTTCTTGGTTGGATGCATGGTTTTCACCAATTGTGGAAAAGAATTGGTTTAATGTATTAGCCTCAGTGTCATCAAATATTAGTGTTCCTACTTCATTCTTAATAGGGCCAGTTTTTTTAGTGATTGTTTCATTTTAATTAATTTTCTCAATTAAGTTCCAAAAGTCTGTACTTCCATTTCTTATGTTCTCAAGAGTCTCAAGATAATACATGGATTCAGCTCTCTTTAGTTTCCTGTGTACTTCGTTTCTAAGATCTTTATACAACTTCCAGTCAACAGGAGAATTTGTAATTTGAGCTTTGCGGAGTTGTTTATATTGTTTATTCATAAGTTTTCTTATTTCCCCATTAATCCATGGAAGAGAATAAATTCTTACTTTTGCTTTCCTTTTCTCCAAGTGTTCATTTGCAATTTCATTGTACATGCAATGAAGTGCTAGTTCTGATATGAGATGCCCAAAACCAGTAATGTGTCATTGGAGATGAAACTCAGTTGAATCAAAGAAATTATGAAGAAATCTACAGAAACCCAAAACAAAACAGAATTCCCTAATTTGATTGGTTGTGAGCTTGAATCAAAGGGACAGTGTAAAGTCATGCTTGTTGGAGAAAGGAGTTGGTAGATTGTGAAGCTGTACTCATCACAATTCATTCCTAGATAATTGGACAGTATGCACTTGGAAGGGGACAAACTTATGTAGATAAGAATAACCTGTAAATCATGGTAATTGGAAATCATTGTCACCCCTATTTTTTCCGTTACCACTCTAACACCTTGACAAACTTGTATACCCCCCTTTAGCCCTTTAACTCCCAAGATCTCATTAGTAATTCTCCTTACTGTCTGCAGTGCAACTCTTCTGATGTCACTTCTGAGAATTTTGTATTGGATAAACTTACAATCCCTAATTGACACTTTTCTCGGTTCTCATCACTTGTCTTCTTGAGTTTGTATTGATATTGTGAGGAGAAATTCTGTCGTGGTTACTCATGGGAGTTATAGGGTTAAGTAAGTGAAACAGTCACATCTATTTCATCCTTATTCTTTACAAGGATAAGGATGCCTGCAGTCAGCAAAACCATTGGAGATACGCCATTTTACGTTATGTCTTTCAAAGTGAAGAACAACAGATAAGTCTGGTCAAACACCCAATTAAAACCTGAGGCGGTTTTGAAGCCCTCTTCCCAACCCCCACCCCCTCCTTGGAGAGGGTGCCGCTGAAAAATCGTGACCCACCTCTCTCAAAATTATTTTCTCTAGGAAAAAATTCAAATCAAATGTCTTCATTTATAATAAATTTTAACTGATGGTATGGGACTCGGTACCGTACATTCCAGGCTGGACTTTTTTACGTAATTTGACTTTCGCATCAACGCGGTCGTCCGATTTTGCAGGTCATTAAGTGAATAAGGACCAGATTACATTCTCCTCACTCTATTTAAAGGAAACTTTTGTTAACAAAAGTGAGACACGAAAAATAAAAGTTTCCACAAATCACGGACCTGACCCACAACACGACATCAGAGACATGTCCCTGTCTGACTGACAGCTATCATGATGAAAATGTTCCTCTCCGTGGAAGTCTGGAAACGAGAGGCGAACATGGCCGAACAAGTGACAAAGGTACGCTTAGAGCACAAATTCGATGAGACTGCACTTCACGAATATCTGGAGCGTAACTTTCTGGCCTTTCCTAAAAGTAACGGGCATTTAAAGGTTCTGCAATACAGGTTTGTGTTGCTCGCGCGAAGTATTTCGTTTTTCTTTAATTAAACCCATTCTGCGATCGGACTATTAAGAGCATTTCTTTAC